ATATTATAAAATAAAAAAAATATTCTGATTAATATAGGCTCTTTAATATAAGATACAATATAATTTAATTTTTTTAAATTCAAGGTCCTACCTTTTTTCGGCGCCTTGAGACGATTTTATCGTGGAAGGTGAACTACAAATATCCCACCATTACCATGACCATTGATAATTAAATGGATTTAAATATTTATATTTCAGAGCAGCAAAACTTTCAGCAGATACTACTGACTATTGTTGAAGGAGCAACTGAGAGTCAAGATCCAGTGGTAAGCATTGTCGCCATTCAGCCCCTTCACACTTTATCCTCACAGTTGACATTCATTACATGTCTCCCCTTTTTTGCCCAACATCTTCCTTTTTGATTTTCACCTTCAAACACTCCATTGCTTGTTTCCCCTAATATATGTATATCTTTAAATTTTTTTTTCATCTAGCAATTTTAGTCTTTGCTTTATCCTCTTCATTTTTATTCTCAGTCTCTTAATTCCTAGAGGACAAATTTATGTTTAAAAATATAATCTTTGTGGAAGATATGGAGATATATTGCTAATTGAGGTTCTAATTCTTGTTATTTAATTACTGTGATTTAGGCACAAAAAACCTGTTTCAATATCCTGAAAAGACTGAATGATGTTTGGGGAAGCAAGTCAAACTCACCGATGCCTTTCTTTCATAGCTTTCTCTATGAATATGTTATTCCATCAGTATTTCGTGCTCCATTAAATCCTTCTTTCAACTTCAATGATGCTCAAACAATATTGGTAAGTAATAAGTTTACTTGACTAGCCATTTTATTGGGGTATCAGAGTTTTTTTGGGGTTTCAATACTCATATTTAAAGGATGCAATGTCACTAAAGTTTCCCGGAAATCAGCATGATGTAAAACTTTTGAACTCAGAAACTAACAAAATCGTCCACAAATTTTCTTACAAAAAACTTGTATACCCATATATAGTCATGTTGAGCATATATATGGTAATGTTGTGATGTCATCATGACATATTTAGGCATATCACATGTTTTATCAAACAAAATTGATAGTCTGGACAGGGCTTAATATCTGCATCACAGATTTCTCCATGAATTCAGCTTGCCATATATGAACGCACAGCAAATATGAGACCTTTTAAGGAAGTTCATTAAACCATTTGTTACGGAATTAGGACCCTTGTAATATGACTAAATATAGCAAACTTTGTCAATATAACAAATAGTTCAGCCTAGCCATGTATAAATTGTGTTTAAAGTGACATGTTCAAGATTTTCTTTGAACCTACTGACCTTATTTCATGAATGAATTATATGAACATGCTTCAAAGGTAATAACTTTATAAAGAATTACCAGTAATTTTTTATCATGATTTACCGGTACAATACAGGAAATTTGTTATAGGCCTATAGTACTTCAGGAAGAATTGCCAGAAATGATTTATCATGATTTACAGTAGCCTGGGTTCCAGGCCATAATTTTGTGTTACTCATTCTTTACTGCACTTGGTGCACGCCATGTCTAATTTAATTGGCATCCCATTCTCGATTTTATTGCAGATTAGGTCCTGGGAAAATGCTGCCTGATCATTCATGCTTACGATTTCTCACATGTTACTTCATGCCTATTAATTAATCTTGGTAAATTTTCAAAATTGAAGATGCGGATGTCTTAACTAGGACTAAACTTGACCAGCTCCCCTTCTGCCTTATTACTTGGATTTATAGTTCTGGCCTGCTAAACAACTATCCATGGACTGATAACCATAGTACTTACAGATCCCTGCTCACCGCTATCTACACAGATAATAAGCCCAGGGTAGAACATTGTTAAAGGGTAGTAGGCTTAAGTAATATTAAGTATGAACTTAAAATAGATCAAGCCTCTACTAGGCCTACTACTACTAGACTCCATAGGCCTGGGCCATCCTTCGGGAAAGAGAAGTTGTGCTTATTATTAGGGAGGACTATTTTTATAGTCATGCCTAACTTAGTCGACGTGAGTGACTCAGTTTTGTGGCTCCAATGTGAACATTGTGATTGGTTGAAATTGTTTATTTAACTTTCATTGTTTATTGGTCCGCCCAAGATTTAGAGGTCTATACAGGAAGTTTGTTATTGACCTATATTATTTCAGGAAAAATTCCCCAAATATTTTCTGCAGTCTAAATGCAATAAATACTCTGGAGGATATAATCTTACAACCTTAAAAATGTGTCTTTTACCACAAGAATAATTCTGAAATGTGAAGGACCATAAATGTATTTTCACTCACTATTGTTGTTATATGTTGTAGTTAGATAATATGACTGGTCATGTGATGTATCATATGTAGTGTAAATAGTGTTCTTTACTGCACAAACTTTACTTTCTGCAAAATCATGTTTTTGTTTTATGAACTAAGTCATGCCATGATCACATGAAGGTATAAAAAAAAACAATTTGGGTGACTGTCACTGTTCTAGACAATTTTCAATGCCTTGGCAGTAGCAATACCAAGGTGGATAAGATAATGGGGGAAGACTGTGGAGGTACAGAGCAAAGGAAAAAAATGTTTGAATGGTAAGAGGAGGCAGGATGTTGCTTTTTGTAACCATACCCACTATCCAAGATGTCCGTGGCGTCAAAGCGCTTAAATAATTTAGTCTGTTGAAACATGTACTGTATTTCGAAAGAAGATCAGCAACAATGATGACATTGTGAAAGTGTTGAATTTCAACCATAATAACGTAATCGAAAGCGATATTGACAGAACATTGTAATGTTAGAACCTTGAAAGTAGATTTTTCTACCATGAATTAATTTGTTCTTGTTTATAGTTTTGACAAGGTTTTACCTTGTAATTTTGTATCTTGTATGGATGTATTAAGTAACTAATTGCACTATGCCCAACCCACGCACATACAGTGAGAATAGGGTGTGTTCAGTTACACCTACTCTACACAGTATACAAATATGAGTATTATAAAATTTCTCACATTTAATCTTTGAACATAAAAAAAGCTTCATCATACTTATGATCAGTCTTTTCTTACTACCCCTTTATTTATACTTTATAAGGGTTTGCCACATATTCGGGCCAATAGAATATCCTGCTCACTGAGTTGTAAAGGTTTATTCAGAAGCTTTTTAGTCGAGACTTTTTTATACCAACCTCGGATATGCATACTATATTAGTTATAATATACAATTTTAATTGATAAAATTATTTTTTTACATGAACATAATAATTCAAATGTAAATTTAATGACATGAAGAATAACTAATAATAATTAAACGTGTACATAGTATCTATCACTACTTCAATAACAAGATTAATATTTTTCTATCTTATAATCAATTTTATATAGCCGGAGTTAGTTTCGACCTAGGCAAATCTTTGCTAAAAAGGTACACTTTCTCCATCAAAAGGCTTCTTCTATGAATGGAATTACCTATTCGAAGCACGAACTCCTGTAGACCAAACCCAGTACCGTTACGATTTTTAATCATACAGGAAATCCACTCATGATGCATTATAGGCCTTTTGGCCGACATAGGACTCAGGTGCCAGACTGACCTTCAGGCATTCTCCCATTCAAAATCTATACCCTACCACTAACAAATATATTCCTATTTCTTAAACCTAACTGCTATGCTATATTCAACCGTACTCCTGTCTTATTTCTTACTATTATATTATGTACACATAATTAATTTTTAATATTATAATATTTTTAATTAATTTATCCATTAATTTAGATAATGAATTATTAAATAAATGATTAAAAACCAAAATTATTTTTATACATTAAAAATTAACGTAGGCCTATTTTTCAAGCGTTTCAATAAGTAGATGTTGATGCGTATATCGATGCACAACAATGCGTAAAAATACAGAACAAAATTACATGCGTTATCTACATGCGCAAATTTTTTAAACAGAGGGAAAGAACGTTCTTCAAACTCAAAACAGAACAAACAACAAAACCACATACACATACAACGATGCACTAGACATGATTATGTTCATACGATCATAATGTACATTTATACGTACTTCCAGGTAAGACATTTGTTTTTGGTTTGTTTTCTAAACATTAATTACTCTTTATTTCATATAAAGAGATTTTGGAAATCACTTAAGGTCCGATTCGATTTCAAATTATGAAAAGTGTAGGCTGTGGCACCGAGACCTCTGATGATTAGTGCTCAAAATTGATTACAAAAACGTAATGCAATAATAGCATATTGACTACTATTGTATATTTTCGGAAATAATTTACTGTATAATTTCTGTAGACCAAACCCAGTACTGTTACGATTTTTAATTGTACGGGAAATCCACTCATGATGAAAAACACCTATTATTTATTCTTTTAAGGCAGCGGTGTGCATAAAAAAAGTTTTTAAAAAAATATTTCTGAAATTTACATTTTTTCGTGGCCAAATATAAAATTTTATTTTTATTTGAAATACAGTAATCAATATTGGCAGGCAGTGGATTAACGAAATAGTGTATCAGCAATCTCGCCGTCTCAACACCAGGTGGCGCTCTTTGTTGTCAGTCAGACGTTGGTTACCAATCATTACGCATTATCATGACTTCATAATCTTAATGGTTTAAAATAGGCTTTCTGGAATAGGCATTTTAAAACCTAATAATTTACCATCAAAATGTACTAAAAACGCAAAAGCTCGCATTATATTAGTTATTGAACACACATGTAATCATCAATTAAAATTTACAAAGAAAAATTAATTTACTACATCTGAATAATTGCGTTGAAATTTGGGATTAATTATATGTCAGTGGAGACAATGGATCCGGTTGAACGCATTTTGTGTCGCTGATGACAGTAACAGAGTAGTATCACATTGTATTTTGACGTCAAAGTGTAGTACTCTATTCATTGTGTATTTTAGTACAGCGTTCCACAAACTTTTTACTTTAGAGCTTATTTACGATTCCAGGCACCAAGTCGCGGCCCTGCAGCCAGCCGCGCCAGGGACCAATATACTGTATTCTGCAAGAACTTTTGATCATCAAGCTTCCATGTAGGCCCTATATACAATATTTTGACATCATTATCTGTTCTCTCAGTGATAAAATTTCATTGTATTTAAATTGAATATTATTTTATTAAATAAAAAATACCGTACATTTGTGTCCCCCCCCCCCATAAAATTGTTTTTTTTTTTCTACAATGATTCAACCAAACATGGTTCAGCCACACACGTTATAGCTTTCTCCTTCTTCCAAAAACTTTTACGCACACTCTGTCCTCCACAACTTTGAAAGACTACCTTACTATACAGTTATTACGTTTAGTAATAAAGTATCCACATGTGCATTTGGTTATCAAGAAATGTGTGGTGTTGTTTAATGTAGTGATCTTTCTAGGACAGTCTGATATTTATGTTTGTCTTTAGCTCCTGACTCATCCCATCATTATTCCATACCGGATATACTCGACCATAGTTTGTAGAACGTCTCTTTAGTAGTTTCAAGAAAATTATCAATGATTATCTATTTTTCTAGTGCCTGCATTTAACAAAAAGGAAATATAATACACATTATCTACCAGTACTTGTTTGAACTGAGCTGTGTCATTCCTTAACCAGGGGTGGCGCCAGGATTTACCCGATGTGGGGGTCTCACGTCCCAGACGAAAAAATGGTGGCCGTGGTCAGGCATCACTCAAAATTTCTTGAAATTGTTCCAGGAGGAATCTACTAATATGTGAAAAATACATATACATTTTTTCTTCCTGACGACTTGTGGTTTTTCTCCCCGACAGGTTCCCCCACTGGCGCCACCCCTGTCGTTAACATAAAAAATTGGACGAGGAAAACAAGTATATATGTAGTCATAATATATTACTAATCAATTTTCCGTGATATACATACATACATATACATACATACAAACATACATACATATACATATATATACATATACATATATATTATATATATATATATATATATATATATATATATATAAAGATATCAAGGGTGAGAGGGCTCAATATGTAATATATATTATTGATTCTCTGTGTAATATTTAATATAATAATATACATTTGATGATGGTAAAGTATGTATAATGTATATAGTTTAGTATATTTTTATATGATTGTAAATACTGAATCAATAATGGCTTGTATCTCTTTTTTGAAGTTTTTTTTCATGCTGTCTTATGTAAATACTGATGTTTAAATAAATACTAGTTGTTTGCTGAACTTTAATGAGGCCTATTTATATTTTTTTATTGTATAATATTTTGTGTTTAGTGTTGGTTTTCTTTTTAATGGTAGACATCTTTTTTTGCTTTTTGAGTATTTTATACCTAATAAATCAAAAACATAAATACAAATAAACAAATATTTCTTGTAGTTGGTGAATATGCTCTTCAATGTGAAATTTTTTTTTTAAATATTGAAAATGTCAAATATCCTCCTACCTTCAAACCTGTGGGTGTATATTATTACTGCAGTTGGTAGGCATATTGTGTGGATTTTTTTTCTTATATACATTATATTGACACATTTACCTCTTTTTTTAGACACTTAATGAAGCTGCACACTTATTACTTTCATTAAAAGACTCAGAGGAACAAACCTTATTGTTGTTTTTGGAAGCAAAGTTCTTACCAGCTCACAATCTTCCAAGATCAAAAGTATTGGTAAGGTATCCCTGATTTTAAAGGCATCATACCTAAATGATAGAATAAACAATTATTTATTTACTTTTTATTCATTATAAATATATATATTTTTAAAATTTTAAAGGAATGGATAGATAAATGAAAAAAAAAAACATAATATAATAGATATAAATTTATGAATATGGTAGGTATGACATTGATTCATCATTTTTCAGGAATGTATAAATGCCCTTAAAACAATGGACTCGAAACAATTCAAGACATTCTTTAAGGTAAATTATGTTTTTATAAATTTGAATAATATAGATCTTGTACTCTATTTATAAGCATTTTTAATCTAACAAAATTAGGCCTATTTACAGTAACCTATAATAAATGAGTGATTAATGAGTACTGATATCTTTGACTTCATATGCACATCATCTGATGTCCCTTTCAACACACTGTAAATTAAGTGCAGTTTTCTGCAAACGTTTTACTTCACAGCCTGTTTACAATTTTAGGCACCAAGCTTTGATCTGGCCCAGCTGTGCCAGGAACCAACATACAAAAACCTGGCAATTACCTCCATGTTCTTATGATATTGATATGCAATACAGTTAATTTGTTTTATTAGTGACAACATTTTGTATAATCTACATAATGGGTATATGAATCAGTATTCTTGGAGATTTCGCAGTCCCATTTTTAACAGACCATTGATTTAATGTACTGTATATTAAAAAACTACAGTATTTTATTTATTTTCCAATGTTGTAACCATATACAGTACTGTATTATCAATTTTTGGATGTATTTATTATTATTATTTTTTTTATCCACAGACCTTTTTCCAAGAACTAAGGTCATGACAGCTTGTATGGTTTCTCTTACAAGATATACCTGTAAAGATATAGTACCAACTGATTATATGATGGTCACATGGTTCAATACATTGGAATCAGCGTGTGCACACTACAGACTGCATTGCAATAAATTACTCGGATGTTTTTCCATTTACAATAAGCATATTGAATGTGGAGGGTCATATTGAAATTATGCTAACATGCAAGACAATCTTTATGTTGATAGACCACTAACATTTGTAGAATTATTCAAACACTTGCAGTTCTCCAAGTGTGTTTGATTCTAAATACAGCCAATGGACATTACAGAATTGTGATTATAAATAAATAATGGCAGTATATTTTTGAACGAAAGTATTACTACACAAATATGAAAGAAGAACCACCGAAAGCAACCATCAATCATGGAGAGATATGTGACATTAACATTGAAATAGTAATAAAAAAAAAAAACAGAGAATGTGCATGATTTTAATATGTATCATGAACTTGTCCCTTAAACATGCATGTATGACATATGATTTTACAGTAACAATAATGATGTGCATAATTAGAATACAGTACATGTAAAACTCTGCCCACACTATCAAATTGTATGTAACAAATAAAATAATGATGATGTCATAATACACTCAAATATGGGCATATCACATTTATTTGTCACAATTTTATAGTGTGGACAAAACTTAATATTAGTAACGTATGCAATTCTTTATGTAATAAAACAAGTGTAAGGAGGTAAATGTGATTGTTTTTGTTCACAGAAATTTTTTATCAAAATTTCAAAGCTAATCAGAAAACATATATTTAACCAACACATTTGAATGTTATACATCGTTATTGTATTTGCGTAGAAATCTCCTAGAGTATCGCAACCTACTATTGTCATTTATTATCGTTGTCGTCACTGCCGTTTACGTCATCACCGTTGTCTTTCTCTTTCAATAGTATTGGTCTTCCGTACACTAGAGGATCCTCTTGTCTTTGTGCCTATTTCAGATACCCTCTCTCCCTCTATTGGAGTGAAAAGCCCATGTTTTTGTCGAATTTTCTTTCATTCTAACCCGTTTCCCAATGTATTTGCACAGGATTTTGTACCTTCTACTTTGGTCAATTTCGTCGCTTGAATCGTTCATACTTGGTCCAAGTAAGACCATTATAATGAAGATACCCCTAGTAAATAATAACGTAATTTTACATATTGTTTATAATTTTAAAAAACTGATGACTTTTAATTATTGTTTTAAAGCAATATACGTTTTTTAAGGTTTTAAAACCCAAGTTCACCGTGAATCAATCAATCCTTCTTGAAAGCAAGTTAGTCATTTGTGACGGAACACAGGCTGAAAATCAGTGGACTTTGCAGGTTGGGCTGTAGCACAATTGTTAGATCTCTCCACGTGCATAAATGTACCTCATTTATTTATTTATTCATATCCACTAGTAATGGAAAACAGTATTGTAAATGATTGATTATAACTTAGACGGTATTTTCAATCACAATAAATATGTGGTCGCAATACTACTTCCAAAAAAAAAAAAAAAAAAAAGAATATTAAAGTCCCAACCAACCAACCAACTGGAGGTGCCATAATCATTTTCTTGTCTCAGCTCGCCTCAACCATGATGAGGCTGAGCTTGTCTTCCTCCAATTTTGAAAGGCTCTTCCTGATCATTTCGAATTGCTGGATCCACTGTACTTGTAGATGTAGTGTTAAAATGAATTACATTCCTTAAAGTCAATAGATTGTTTATGATTATATCGACTTGCAAAAAGGTTAGCGCACACGAGCTTCCTGGGGCGTCGCCCCCTGGACCGTCCTGGGGCGTCGCCCCCTGGCCGGCGGCCAGGGCTTGGCCCAAGACTTCCCTGTTTTTCTAATCGTCCCTCCCTTCCCCTTTTTCACTTTCAACCACGAATCGACGCCTGTGCAGGGGACCATACTTGCATGGTGGACATGAGGTAGGTGTTGATTCATACCATTTGAAATTTTGGGTAGACACGTCTACACTATCGAAAAATTTTGGATTTGATGCAAGTTTTTTCATCCATACAGTTTGCCTATTAAGTTTTGAACTTCCTGAGTCACACACTGCAATTACTTCAACCACAGTTCTCCATTCATAACGGGCTTTCCCCGGAAGGAAATTACGTCAACGAATTAGAATGACGCACGGTTGCTGTTTTGTGAAAGGTCATTGTGTATATATATTGAACGGGAGAATATTATTATAGTTATTGTATTACAATACAAGTAAAACATCAAACACACAAAAGATTTTTTTTTGAGGTGTTTTTATTACAACTTAAATAAAGGAACTATATGACAATTATAGATGTGTATAAGAGACAGTATATATATATAGGCTTAATTATATAAGAGAAATACAAAACTAATTTTCTTTCATTATATAGGAATACATCTGTAACTGTTACTTCTAGAAAGTAAAACTGAGTTGGAAGTAGACAATATCCATTGTTCTTAAATGGAAAAATGTCATGTCTGCTAATCTACAGTAGACTGCTAGTAAGACAAATTTCTTGTCAACATAATGATAACATAACATGCATTTTAAGGCATCCTGATTTGCGTATATTGCAACAGTTGGCCACGTTACAATACACACCGTCTAACGTTCGGAACTGTTAGTACCTCATACCAAAAATAGCTAATTGAATCCTAGAAAACTAGCACAACTGAGTTTCCAAATAGCCTACTGACCAATGAAGAAGGTGAAAATAATAATTATTATTTAATCGGAAACTACACTTTTGAAACAGTGGCACACTTTACACGATAAAGGTGCATCCAAAATAAAAGTAAACGTTGATTAAACGGCAAATAAAATTATACGACAAAGAAATCAATGTCTTAAATAGGTGTAAACATTGAAATTTGACTGAGTTTTACACTCAGTAATTATCCTTGATAATGTGTTAATTCCATTAATAAAGTGAGCGATTCCTAACGTGACTTAAGAGGGCTGGTCGGCCTAATAATGCTCTTCTTGCTATAGCGTGGAAGGCTTCTATCGTCTGTCGAAAAGGTGCAGGAGTGGGAAAGGTTGGCAAAGTGAATGAAGTGTCTTGTATTTACTGTAAATATAAAACATTATTTTGTAGAAGCCATTTTGGTATGAAGAATGTGATTAGAGCAAGTGAAATGAAGGTTAATTGTTTTTACCATAAGAACATTTTTGGTTTTAATGACTGCCATAAAAACATTTTGCCATCATTATGTTGGCAATTAAGTCTTGTACAAGTGGTAGAGAAATTTAAAGTATCATTTTCTCGAGGATCAGTCCTTTGTGTTTTCTAAAGCGTTTCAAAATATGGTATTTATAGTGCAAAATGACCGTGATGGATAAAAAAAAAAAACCTTCCCTCACAACCTGTACAGTTTACGCAAGGCCTGGTATATCATGTGGACAAACAGGGTGAAATCCACAGACATTCACAGGTTGGGATCGAACGCAACTCTCTATTTTTTCAGCCCCATTATTATTTCTTCCAGCATCGAGATTCTTTTCTTCTTGTCTACACTTGGCTGCAAACACGCACGCACACACACACACACACACAACACACACACTCACAACCATACATTAACTTTAATACGCTGTATTGTATTGGCACAAAATAAAATACAAATTGCATGATTTTTATTTTATTTTCAATCTTTTGACAAAGAACAGAAAAAGTTGAACAGGGTGCCGAGGAAAGGCATAAGTTAGAAAACTGTCATCGATTGATTTGCTTAACCGAACCCCTGCCAGCAAAACAATACGAAATAAAATCATTCACAGGAAACAATAAAAAGTACAAATAATCAAAAGCAGCACGCAAAAAATACAAGAATAAAAATTATTACGGCAAAGTAGCCTATACTAACTTCATAGTTCAGTTACAAACACAGTATGGGCTTGTCAGGGCCTACTCCATAACTTCCTGTAAGAACAATTCCATGTTGGATATACTTTTTCAAAAAAAGTTTTATTTTCCGAAAGTTGAAAAACGCCACTGTCTGAGTGTCGCGCCATCAGCGCGAGGTTTGGGCGAAGAAAAACCTGGACTGAACACTTTCTTTACAGTCTCAAAGAGCCATTTCTGGTATTCCTGTTTTTAAAGTTTGCCGCACCTCAGCCTCAAACATGCTGGGCCTGATGTGGGGGTCGATCCCCCGTCGAGGAACTTTGATCCCTCAATAAATGTTACAAATTGGTGATGCTATTGATAAAAAAAAAAAAAGGTTGTTGAATTAATAACATTTGATTATAATATTTTATTGCTACATCTTGTATGTACTTGTTGAAATATCGTCACCATGGTTTAAAAACTAGGGCTAAGTAAAATACAATCCAATATGCCGTCCTGTGGTAATCAGGAAATATTTGGCATCTTTTTTACCCCGAAACATATACTTAGAATTGAAGATAGAAAATATTCATTGTTCTTAAATAAAGAAAAAAAAAACATGTGTCAACTAATATTGTGTAGTACGGTAGGCTGCTTAAGGCATATTTCCAAACAAGCAGTCATTTAGGTTTACGGCATCCTGCTTTGCGTGCCAAAACTTTTTTGGCACATTATAATATTTGCAATTCATGTACCGCATGATGTTAATTTAAGTGGCAAAGAATATGTTTTCAAGGCAGAGAAATTTAAAATATCATTTTCTATGAATGTCATATGGTCGCCATACTTAAATTCAAGTTGGCCACCACAAAAATCATACTCTTGTCAATATCTAGGCTTAATCCATGTATTTTGTTGATTTCAGTTGCCACGGTTTTTATGGTAGAAAAATACATTTAATATGGTAGTGCCACCTAATATTTGCTTTCAATATGACACTTATTGGCAGAAAATATATAATGTCTATAGAGATTTTTGCATTGGAGAAAAATGCAAGAAAAGGAAGAGGGAAGAAAGAGGAGAGGAAGGAGGAAAGGAAGGGGAAAGAGAGTGTTTAGAGTGTTTATCTAGTACCCGACCAAGTTAGATTTTCTCACAATTCACATTGGCGGATCTGGGGATCAGGAGTCCTGTGTAAAAAAATAAATTAAATAAATAAAATAAAAAGAATTTTAGACCTACCTTTTCAGGCCCCGTGAGCTGATTTTTTTTTTTCCTTCTTTTTTTGTTACAATAAGAAAATTCAATTTGATTTTTAATTAGTGTGTTTTTATATGCCTTTTCTATTTCTTCCATTTTTATCATTTTAAGTTGTTTTTATGTCTGGTGCTGTGATTTTTATCCATTGTTTCTTTTTTATGTTTGTGTTCTGTTTTTTTTAAGTAATTATTGTAATACACTCTTATACAGTTTTTTGACTGTCTGTTTGTAATTTTTTATTTATATTTTTGTCTGAATAAAAAATAGAGACCATCTAGGAATCAACATTTTCTCGGGGGAGTACACGCCCCCCCCCCCTTTTTTTTATTTTTGGGGTCCGCCGATTCATGGAAAAATTACGTATGCAAAGTACGTACATAATAGGCCTATTTACTGTAGTAAGAATGAGTAAAATTTATTTAGTATTCTTCTTTATTCTTTATTCAATATATACAATCAGTAGGAGCCGAAGCTGAATTGCAGCATTTTATTTACAATCTTTCCTACCAAATATAATAGGCCTACAATTAAAAATACAGTACAAAGAAAAAAAGGACAACCTTTCAGGGGGAAAAACCTTGAAGAACTTAAAAGTCTCATTTCCCGCCATTCAGAAATAAACATTTT